GCATTTAGTATTTCACATGGCACTATACAGGCTACGTCATAAACAATGGCTTGAGGCAATGAAGCAATGAAGGATACAGTAGGCTTAGAATCTAATCGGTCTCAGGTAACCAAATTATGAACGTAATAAAACTATATCAATGCTTATTGAAATCTTGGACATAAAATTGATGTTACGAAGCAGTAACATGTTTTTAGCTGTGTCTGATACACGTACAGGATACAGCGAGCGATTGTATGCACGTGCAATCAAGACCATGAAAACGGCCGAGCAACAAAATTGCTCAGCAGGCAATTTCTCTACATGACCTTTCAGCTTGTTCTTTTACATTCTCCTGACACTTGTGAAAGTGACGGAGAGCCGTCTCTATCGAAGTGCACCGAGGAACTGCGAGGGAAATATTGTTTCAGCCTGGAAACATTCACCGCAGTGCCAATCGAAATGCAAAGATTCAATCTGCTAGTTTACGCCGTGAACCTTGGTGATGCCCTCTTTAGAATACTCAATGATGCCCTCTTCACAGAAACAGGGGTTTATCGAGGGTGCTGTCATGGTACGCAATTATGAGCGCAGTGATTGGTCTGCCACTAACCTGATCATGAGAATCTTGTGAAAGCATTTTACGTGGCATTGAAGTCTCGTGCCACAAAGCCACGCCAGGTCATGAAACTCCTTAGGACAAAGATCATACACAGGCGCAAAATTGGTGAAATGTGAATACAGAGCCACCTTTCTAATTTTACGAACATATACATATGTTCTCTAATGATACAGGCATCACGTCAAGTTAGCGTCAATTATACTTAAACGACATACGCTGAAGCCAGCCTTCTCATACCACTACCCAGGGCTACCATCTTCCCAAGCCGAAGCGCTACATTAGAGCTTAGCGCTTTTGGTGTTGGTAATACCGGTGCTACTTTTCACATTGTTAGGCAACTGTGAACATCTCATTATTTAAAACACATGCCACTGTTCAACAAACACGTCTGTACGTATGACATGTGCACATATGTTTAGCGTCATTTCATAACGTTTCGCTCAATAAAATAATTACACATCACTGACGTACCCTCCACATGCTTCACATGACAGCGATTCCCATGGTACGTAGGACCTGCCAATTTTTTTTTTTACATCTCGTGATGATGGTTACGGACATCGTCGGCGGTGACGGTGGCAGTGTCGGAAGCAGCTCTAGTTCTAAACGCATCACAGCTTTTGACGTAAAACATTTCTAATACCGCTTGATTATGGGCGTTGACAGTGCGCGGAATTACATAGGCTCTAAGAGGAGCATGCTTGGCAAAAAGAAGCAGGGCTTTTTTAAAAAACACAATGTTTGTTTTGATATTCGTAAATTGTCAAAAATGTAACAGCAACAACTTTCAAAATAGCATTGTACGTGTCTATACTTCAAGAAATTCATTCAACAGTAGAGTTCAGGTAGTCCTATTTTTGCAACTCGAATGCACATTCTTCTTGGTGAATGAAGCCTTCAGTTTCATATTATCCTGAAGGGACAAATATTCTGAAAGAACAGCAACGTATCAATTTTAGTAAGACTACAGCTGACTCACATAAAACAATGTTCCCTCTAAAAATATATGATGCTTAGTTTAAATATTTTCCCCACAGTTTTTCTGTAGTGTTCTGTTCGTCTCTGCCTTCAAGTGCAGATCAAAAAACGTAATCATCGTGTACGTACGGCTAGAGCATATCTGTTTAATACATTTTTTGTCATGTATGTATATCGTAAGGTTATTATTGACCTCATGCTCTACCGTGATATGTACATTCTGAACGCGAATCTTGGCAACAAAATAGTATCCATATATTTGTATAGTATAATTCGCCGCTAGAATTCTTTCTGATCCGATTTTTTTCTGGTGTAGATGACACATTCTTATTATTGTTTTCGATCAAAGCCTTAGAAGAAGATACAGAATATAAAAGAGAGTGCTAGTGCAATTGTTTTCATTGGAGATTTATGTCCAGTATACTAGGCACAGTCATTCGTTTGTTGCCTGTCTGGGTGCATGCATCCCACTATATGCCCTACAATATTGCTGCTTTTGGCCTCTCGGATGCTAGATCGCCTTATAAAACACAAAATTATTCGTTTTGACCAAAGAAAAAGTCTTTATGGCTAGTTGTCGCATATGGTGGTCAATAACCCAAAAGCAGAAAATTTTTGGAGTGGGCGCATCCAGTATCCGCAAGTCAGCCTCATTCTCTTCTCGTGCTACACCTTTACACCTTTTAGTTACAGGCCCATGTGCTCAGATTTGGGCATACGTTAGAGAACACCAGGGGGTCGAAATTCGCGGAGCCTTCCACTACGGCGTCTCTTATAATTATATGGTGGTTTTCATACGTCAAACTCCACATATCTTTATCATCCTGTAGTTAGATTTCAGGCGTGCTGCATTTTTCTTTTACAGCAAGAGCTGTTATGAGATCACAACAAGGGTCACGTGAGGTGCTGTAGTTATCCACTGCCGCCACCGGTGTCCATAACCACTATCGCACGAACTAAAAAAGAAAAATTTGTAAAAAAATGAAATTACCAGGGACATAGTGGGATTCGAACTCGGATCATGCATTTTACCGCAGAGCCACGTCACTCTTTGTTGCAAACTTGTCATGGCAGGCTTGATGTCGGGAAATTATTCACCTCATATGAACCATTGATTGATAAGGGGCTTCAACGTACCAAAACCCCCATATGTATATAAGATACTTATTGGAGGGCTCTGGAATTTTCGACCACCTGGGTTTCATTAGCGTGAACCGAAATATGAGCACACGGGCCTACAGCATTTTCACTTCCATCGGAAATACAGCTGTCGCAGCCGGGATTTGTCCCGTCATCTGCGGGTCAGAAGCCTAGCCATCCGTATGAACAATAAAACATTTTAGCAGGAGCAACCAGGCATCCCGCAATGCGAATTGCGTTACAAGTGCGTCGTCCTATGCTTGCTTGCTTGGCCTTCTATCCTGCCACAACACACTATAAGAGATCGGCCATGAAATGAACGGCACCTTGATATTTAAAAGACGATTCATAATTTCGAAATGTTAGGCAAAAATAGTTCAGAAATTATTTTTTAGGTTATTCTACAAGATAGACATACACTAGTATTTCTAATGAATATGCTTAATTTTTATAACCTTACAATTTATTCATTTTGATAAATAAAAAATATCACTTTAAAAGTACGTTCGCAATGGAACCCGTTATTGAACCCATTAAAAAAGCTTGTTCTAGATGACTTATTAACTGTGGTGCATACCCACTTCAGGCTTAATTCCTCTTTGTCGTCGGACACTGCATAAAACATTTGCACAACATGCCTTGGAAGTGTGTAGCGTATATCACGTTTCTCGTAAGAATGAAAAAAAATAGCATAGTGAATGCTGGTCTGCAACACAAAAATTATGATTATTTATATCGTAGTGTGTACGCAGCAAGTGTGCTTATAGCACTCACCCAAAGCATGTATAGGAAAGCCTCTAAACGGCTGCTCTTCGAGCTCTCGCTGTGTCTGTGCTACACGTTCAACGCAGACCTCCTGTTCTTTTTTTTTAATAGCTGAGTTTTCAGGTTCTCATTTGACGCTGCCCCTTGTTTGCTTTTTTTCCCTAAAGTGTTGAGGACAACGTGCGCCAATCGCATCCTCATGTCCAGTGTACTGGATATTTTTGCATTGCCATCAATCTTCTGATTACAAAATAAACCTCTTGCAACAATGTTTCAAGAAAACATAAGACAGCCTGCACGACTTGGATTATTTGCATTCTACAATGCATAAGAAAATGGGGCTGAAAGAGAATCAACATTATAAAGCATATATTTAGGTTGTATAAAAGCTGCCAAAATGATTTGGATCGCAATAAGAGCTCTGCTGGCTTTCAACACCGCTTCTTTTATCACAGCCAATACGCTGATTGCGGGTTCAGAACGGGATTTTATAACTCAATTTAAGCCCCTATCGTTGGCTTTGAGAGCTCCTATCTGATTTAAATTACGGGACTGTGTACCAAAAATGTCTGTATGTTTACAACTTTGTGTAAAGCGTAACTCTTTCGCAGATTAACGAACTTGAAAATATCTTCAATTCGAGAAACGTTTACACAGGTCATTTCGTGTTGTTTCGGCCAGCATCAACTGCGTGAGAATCAGATGTAGTAATGGGAAGCCAGGAAGCTTGGGGAGCAACATTGTAGGTTTTTTAGGCATTGCACGGAAAACGCTATTACTAGATTCATAAAAAATGATATAACTGACCATCCAATCGTGACCTTCCACTTCTCAGCCATCTCTTCTTTATAGCGAATATCGGACCGACGTCTTCACCGTAGATATGGAATAAGTGCAGCTGTTCCAGGGACTCAGATTGGTAGGCGGCCTCGGCGATGCAGCGAAACTCAGCATCGGAAAACTCTTTAAAAAGAGCGAGGCGCCTGAGAGACGAAGTCTTCCGGAGACCTTCTGCCAGGTGACTGGCATGCCATCTGATCGTCGCCATCTTCATACAGAATTGGGTACAATGTGATTATTTTTGTGTTGGCATGCACAGCAAATAAAAGAAACAGAGCACATCTTTGTGTAAATGCGTTGTTAAAGGGGCTTTCCTCACTTCTCGAATCTTTTTTTTTTTCAAGTATGCGGGTTGCATAGAGTGCTGACTGAGGATAGTTTAAAATAGGTGAAGCACCAATATCAGTATCTCAGCCTGAGGGGGAAAGAAGGTTGCGCAGGTTCGGTAAAGGCTTAATCATTTACCAGCCGTGCTTGTCAAGCCACAGATGCGCACGTGTTAGTTACATGTATAGCGCTCACCTAACACGTTACCTCGTTATTCATGCAAGAACAGCCACACGTTTGTTTTTTGTTTTTTTAGCTTCAAGACTCACTGAAAAGGCAAGCACATTCCACTTCACAGCTGCAAACTACAAAACTTCCTTCTCACCTCATTTTCATTTTGTCTCAAGTCTCACTCAGTATACACTAGTGACACATCTCGAATGGTGTTGTTTGAACCAAGAAACTCGAGCAGTCTTTCGGAATCAAAGAAACCTATTTTAAAGCTGTCAATGACGAGGGTGGTCACTGTTTTGTTGCTGACGAGTGCTTCGAACACAAAATTCGACTGCAAGCGGTGACAGGGACGGCGACCCAACACTGTAAGCTCTGTAGGAGCCGACGAACTGGCAAGCATTCGCTTGAATGTTTCACCACGTTGGTGTGCAGGAAACGATCCGTCCACGGTGAGGTACCTGATGCTGGTGTTGTTGGTCAGGGCATGTGACACCTTTCCAACGAAGTCGAACATCTCGGCTGAAACCTGCGTTTACGATTGGCGTAAGCAACGGTTCAATTAGCCGGAGAAATGCTATTCGTATTGTATACTCGTTGGCAGACTGAGCAGCTACTAATTACTGTGAACAGTCGCTTCCTAGTAAATGTCCGTTTGTATAGGGCTAGTTAAACTTTACATAGAGGTGAATGGCTATGATACTGTTTAGACATGAGCATGAATATTACTCGGCGCTCTCACCAACATTCAACTTGAAGCAGACGTAGTCGTACACCTTTTTCATGCTTAGGCTAAGCCTAGGACGTTACAGTATTCCGAAGATTGGCTAGTTGGGCAAGTTGGTACTGATCCATAGGTGTACTGCGCAAAAAACAAAACATAAGTGTACTGCACTTGTCTGTCCTTTTTTCACTTATTAGTGTTTCCGTCTGTTTTTTGCGCAGTACACTAATGGACGTTACAATATGGACAAAACGGTCCGCGAACTGTGTGAACGCAAGAAATGTCGGCACTACAAGAGACTTCTTTAAGTTCTAAGCATTCAACTTCACATAACTTGCAGTGTTAGTTACCCGTAGTCACACGAAATATGTAGCATATTTTGGACCATAAGTTGTATTAACAACTGCATTTATTAGTACTGCATTTAATTTGGAGTTTTAAACACCCATTCTACTGGAACTAGGTACCGCAACCTATCAAAAGTAGTACGCAGACGATCAATGAAAATGTCTACAGAGAGCAGAATCCTCGTAAGACTACGTGCTAATTAGAAGTATGTCTCATGGTTATTCGAAAGAAAATGCATTTAGGACCAAAATATCGCGTTATTAGAGCTACTGCATGGGGAGTTAAGCAAAAAAAGGGTGAGTAGCGAGTCTGTACTGGCGTTTGGGATAATTGAGCCGCACAGAAAAACAGTTTTTCACCGAAATTTTGTGGGCTACCTCATCTATGCGAATAAACAAGACAATATGTAAGCAGTCATAAACTTAACATAGCGTTTTGTTAAATTAAATATTTAAGTTGTTAAGCAAACAAATATAGTGAGAAATTATTTTTTAATATCTGTAACCAAGCTTGCTATTCGGTCATCCCCAGCTCTTATTCACGATTCTAACTCGAATGATGGAGCACATTTAGCGAGTCTTATTTTTTCTGGTTCTTGTTTAACGCTTATACTATAATTTCGCTAAATAAATCTGTCTGTTCAGTTATTGCTTCTCGTAACTCACAGCCCCAAGAGAGTGCTGGCGACTCTCTTTGCGGGAGTTGAGGCTTGTCCCAACTTTCACTCACTTTTCAGGAGTGCTGGGAACTCTTCTGCACAGAGTAAGCACACTCTCTATACAGAGTGCTAGTACTCTGGCTGAACGAGAGTGAACAAGCTCCCTCTCGCAGAGTACAGGCACGCTTCTGAAATAGAGTTCATACACCCACTGCGGATGTTGTGCTACTCTCTCGCAAAGTTGTACAATATGGTAGGGCTAGAGTGCATCAACTCCCTCGAAGAGTTGAATCACTCGCGCTGAGCTAGAACTAACGCCTGAAAAAAAAAATGCTATGTCAAGCATTTTGTAAAAGCAGGGAACTTCATAGATAGTGAACTTCCAAGCTTACGCCACATATGCAGGACAGACATCAGCATGCACATTATAATACGCAACACAGCAAAGAACAAGACTGAACACATGCCTCTCGTGTTGTTTTTTCTTTATTACATATTTTTGCACATCAGACAATAATATTATAGTGCATAAACGTTACATACAGCGGTAACAAACGGAATGGTTACATAGTAACTAGAATTCCTTTATACGAATAAGTGACTCAAAATGTTTGAGCCACTCATTAAATATATATATATATATATATATATATATATATATATATATATGCCTATCGTGCTACGGCGACCATTCACGCAGCAACTGGTATTTATACTCTTGATGCCTAGCCCCCTTCTAGTGTGGGTGGCGCCACACTTCCATTACGCGTTTTGAAGAGCAAACATACATTTAGTATGTATAGCTATCTGGGGACCGTTTTGTGCCCTGTGGGCACGTTGACCTTTTATGATAAAACTACATGACACACAACGCCGTTTTCAATAGTAAATTCTAATGATCAGATGGTATTCTGTCATATCGACTCAATGCGATGAAGCCACTTGTGCCCAAGCCTGAGAGTTGTACTTAGGCGCCTACAAACAGAGTTGGGACGATCTGTTAGCAGTGCTGGCCGAAAAGTAATCTACGAACGTTACGCTCCGGCGTAACGTTAGTAGTTTTGCTCACCTTATAGTTTTGCTCACCTCGTCTACACTTTAACACAACAATGACAGGCTTGTGAATCGCTCAAACGTCAACCTTTGCGAGCTACCTGCAAATGATTGCTATGCCGACGAGTAAGAATAACTTCACAGTAGACCCTTGCCATCGGTTAACTTGAATGAACCATTGCTTCTTGCGTACGGTGTGCGCACAAGAAGCGATAAGTAAGCATGGATGCTACGCGCTTTCAGCCTGTGGCGCAGCGAACACGGGCCACCGCCGAAAGCCACTGGGCGCATTTGTTGGCACTTTGCTGACCCATACGTGCAAATGCAGGCTTGTCGTTCAGTGCGCATTCATAAAGTAACACAATGAGACACTCTCGTGCACATGCAGTTTGGTTTCTGCTATTGGCTATGTAGTCCAGCTATCGGTTTTCAGATCCAAATCAGTACACACTAACACGGCCGCTGCACTATAGCATATCGTGACTTGCCCACGAAAATTCACCTAACTCCATCAACTACGCGCGTGCTTCTCGAGCACTTCACTTGATTTGAAACTTCGGCGCACGTCAACCAGCAGATTAAGCGAGTAACGGCTATTGCACTCGGCAGTAAATATTCGGCTCCAGGTTCTCGGTAATTTCTGTACATTTTCTTTTCTTTGTTGTGAACTCTCAAAAAAACTTGGCGTCTTGGCATTAGTGGCATGAAATGCGTAGACTTCAGTTTTTCGCATATCATGAACACGCAAGGTTTAGTTAGAAACAAAAATCGCGTATGTCTTCAAACTACGACCCGTGAAGCGAAACGGTGTGTGTTCTATCAACCACTTTTTTTTTAACCAGGCAGTGAGCATGCCACAACGTGGCGTAGTGGTAGAGCAGCCGCCTCGTTTTACGTAAGTAGCGATGGTGAGCCCCCGCTGAAAAAGCTTTTTTCAACTATTTTTACAATATGTGCCGTGATTTATCTCACCATAGTAGCAATTTGTGCCGTGAACTAACTTTTGGTGATGCTTTAGGTGTGGCCGCTGTTTCTTGCTTCGAAGGTGTTGGTGTTGGCACTCCGTAAACTAAGCGTTCATGAGCACACAAGCATGCTTCTGTTATCACTGAAAGTTATCCTATGACTTGGCGCATGAAACTTGCATCTGGGGCGTCTACGCTCAGAGGCGTGTGGTTACAAGACAATCACATTGCTTTGCGGCGATGGTGGTAGCGTGCAAGCGCTACATTGTACTCCATTAGCAAGGACGGAGTGCCAGATCTCATTAACGCCTTATCGGCACGAGAGTTGCACAGATTGGGAACTACGATTGAGTAGCAGAGTTCACCGTCTCTTTTACTCTGCATTCAACGAAAGAGTACTCGTGGCCAACTCTGCCCTACTATCACAAACGACTGCAATTTTCGTTTCGCCCGCACGCCCCACCATCCAAGAAAGGGCGCTTTTGTGTTGGAAAGACGACATCCGGCGACTAACGAAGCAGCCACGGCACTGCCGCGTTTTCCCTACACTTGTACCAAAAGGAGAGATACGTTCGAGGAAAAAGAAATGACCTAGAGAGGAAGGAACGTCCCCAAAAAGTTTTGACTACTTTGAAATCTGATTTCGGGAGCTGACGTGCAACCAGCAACAAGCGTGGTCGTTGGTGTCACGAGGCTCGCGTAGGCGGTGAGTAAGGAGTGACCCACGCAACGTATTGAGACGGCTGCAATACCGGGCACCCTCGTCGTCTACTTAGCTGACCAGATCCTCAGCGGCACGCGTCAAATACCCTACGTGTACCAAAACCTGGCCTGGTCCGTATCACACTTTGTATGGTGACTTTCTTGAAACCTATTTTAATACAACCAGCTTTATTAAATATATTTTAGTTGTGCGCGCTGCGTCACACGTCGAAGCTCAGATGAGCGAGCCTGAGATTTTTTAATACTTTTTGTCTTTCTTGCAGCTTCATCATGTTCTTATTTTATTATAATTCTGCGTATTTGTACTTTGTCTGTACCTCTTGTAGTGTTCCATCGCTTGCTTTGTTGTTCTTTTCATCGCCTATTAGTCTTGCCTCTGTTATGTTTATTTGTAATCTCTTGCCGTTGCCCTAGTTTTAAATAAATGTTTCTTTGCGTTTAAGCAAGTGTCCGTGTCTGCTCTATGATTGCTTCAGTCAAGCTCATACATCACTACACATGCAACTATGCACGGGTTGACTGACCTGCTCAAAAATTCAATATGTGCCACTTCGAGGCCTTTCAGGCGTCGCAGGCCGAAGCGTAAAGTGGAAGCCTGCGAGTCTAACGCACGTCGATGTTGGATCGGCGGGGCCTCACCCGAAGTGTGTGACAACCACTCCCCCCACGGAGTCAAAGAACTCTGGGGAGAGTGACACAGTTCCTCTGCTCTTGCAGTACCCCTTCAAATTCTGCGACGGATATATGAGTGTATAAGCATTACATTTTAGGTATGAAGTAACGCATTTTCTGACAAGGAACATACTTAGCGATATTCATACAACCCCTCATTATTGATTTAATTATGTATTGGTAATTATTTAATAAATAATTATTTATTAATTGATATGTGGGGTTTCATGTTCCCAAACCACCCTATGATTATTAGAGACGCCGTAGTGCAAGGCTCCAGAAATGTCGACCACCTGTAGTTCTTTGACGTGCACCGATATCTGAGCACACGGGCCTACAGCGTTTCCGCCTCCATCAGAAATGCAGCCGCAGCAGCCGGGATTTGATCCCGCTACATGTGGGTCAGCAGCCGACTACTTTAGCCACTATACTACCGTGGCGGGGCATTCATACAACTCTATAAGTTCATCTGTATGAGCCCAGTATAAGTTCATTTTTCAACGACAGAATGCGTATGCAATAAATAGATCGCACCTATGTGGTGTGAAAGCCCATGTGTGCACTTCACAGCCTGTATTGAGCGCGATTCGCCAGTGCTCAACAAATTGCTTAACAGCGAGAGGAATCTCAGATTTCTATCACGGCTGCGGTTTATGCTAAAATTCGCAATTTATTGAAAGAAGTAATATACAGTCACACATAGACACCAGACAGTATCGCCTTGACGCTTTCAAAGCCCTCACATTGTTGTATATGTGCTCTACAATAAACACATACCTACGTGCACTTTCGCTTCCTCACACCTCAGAAAATCAGCTTATACTAGAATACGTTCTGAAATTCACCGCGCGCGTATGCTATGCCAGCTTATTAGTACGCGTTTTCTACGAATATCTACTTATTACACTTTGTGGTGCATAGTACCGATGCTGGACACAAGGCGAACTTTTCTTCCTACGACGCGCGAGTAAACATTTTCCTGCACCATTCTCAGGCGCGATAATGAGAGTGCAAAAAAAAATGACGATTCAATGGCCCAAGCTTACCAAGCATCACTCACTTACCACAAATATATGGCCACATTTATATATGAATTGCATTTTTTATCTAGATCTTTTTTGTATTAAGACTGTAAGAGGTCCAGATTCAGTTTTTGTTTATGGGACCTCGTTCTATATACTGACAACTTGTAACGCTCCTGACGACCTAATAAAATCAATTCAGATTCTGATTTAGGTCATTATTTCCCATAACTTACGCGCAACAGTTCGAAAGTACTTTTATTAGGCAATCTATCTGGGATGACGCTTGAGCTTCACGTTCAAGTGCGAAACAAAGAAACGTAATCGCACCCAATTGGGATCTATTTCTAAGTCAATTGGCTGGCTTCCTCTGTTGGTGCTTCAACTATGCTGTCACAAAAGGAGCACCTGTACACATAAAAGTTCAATTTCAAACTATTTTGAGAACAGTTACTACAATTGCCAATGCGATGGGCCGACTACGCCTTAATTATTCCCTTCGATTGATTGATTGATTGATATTTGGGGTTTAACGTCCCAAAACCACCATATGATTATGAGAGACGCCGTAGTAGAGGGCTCCGGAAATTTCGACCACCTGGGGTTCTTTAACATGCACCCAAATATGAGCACACGGGCCTACAACATTTCCCCCTCCATCGGAAATGCAGCCGCCGCAGCCGCCGCAGCTGGGATTTCAACCCGCGACCTGCGGGTCAGCAGCCCAGTACCTTAGCCCCTAGACCACCACGGCGGGGCTAATTATTCCCTTCGAATGTTGGCAATACGCCAATAGACGTCCGCGAGGCAACGCACACTCTTTACAGTTTCTTGATGACCTAGATAATAGCAACTGATCTTGCCCTAATGTACCTGGATGTGTTACTGGCTATCTATCTAGGCCATACCCACGATTTCTATACATAACTTAACCTTGTACGAATGACCATCTTCTCCATATGCAATGATAAAGATGGCACATGCAATGATAAACAGTATTTGTCGTGAATGCTCAGTTTACCTTACAATCGTTTACTTCACGTTAAACGGTGAATACTTTAGCACTCTAAACGAGACTGTGTGTGACGGATATATATTTGTGAAATATTTCAATAAGCCAAAACTTGCGGTCAGAACGACTACGAAGGCCCCATTATGTAGCATACGGAAGAAATAAGTAATAAGGAGGATATAGATTGTTCAGTAAATGTTGCTGAATATGCAGATTACCAAAGTAAACCAAATAATTTGCGATATCGCATCCTTCATCAATGCGCGGCTCTTTTCTATGGCAACCAATCTTAATACCTTCAGCAAGACTTAATCGCTAGCACCATCAATTTCCAATGACAGATTGCGTGGGCAATAAATAGATCGCGCTTATGTGGTGTCAAAGCCCGTGTGTGCACTTCACAGTCTGTATTGAGCGCAATTTGCCGGTGTTCCGACCACGCACAGAGAATTACTCTGTCACACGTGCACATACCTCGCTTTCGATGAGAACCTCGACGATTTTGAGCCGCTTGAGCTTCCTACTCGCCGATAGTGCCGTCTCGAAAGCGTCTAGCGAAGCGCACGCCTTCTGGGAAGGCTTGGCCAGATCTAGACATTCCAGAGAAAGCTCAGCTAGTTGCGATCGCAACAAACGAGCAATGGCTTTGAAGGCAATAGTGGTCGCGTCATCGGTTAGCTCAGAACCCTTCAGAGCAAAGCTGCGAAGTGAAGACATCCGCTGTAGGACGCAGGACATTAGTGAACTTATGTCATATTGTTGCCGGGGCTGCAGCGTCACCTGCAAAAAAAAAATTGAAAAAAAAGGATGTCTTGGTGACGCACCTTACAGGTTCTATTGAAGTATCCGAGGGGGGTTAGTTAGACTGCACTGCGCAGTGATATAGAAAAAATATAGCGACGATGTTGCTGAATAGAAATTATCATCTAAGCAAACTAATCTCATGTTGTCGCTATACCTTCGCATTACACAGCTTGAAATAAAAGTACAAAATATATCAAGATAGCTCTATCCGCGTGTCTAGCTTGCAGGCTTGTGCACATTATAAAACTCTATGAACCAAGTGAAATCTAATTGCTCGATACATGTGATAAAAAAAATGTCCTTCACACAAATGCTGCTTTTAACAATGAAAATTCATATTTTGAAACATTTCCCAATTAAAATTGATGCCCAATGTTATCTCGAACGTCATGATTAGGAGAGAATTAAAATTAACAGTGTCAGCCTTACACAAGGAATGTGTGGCTTGTTAGGGGCGCTGCAACACTTTCTGAGCACGATGTAAAAACGCTACAAATCAGTAGTAAGGGCTCCCGAAAACAAGCGAGCTAAATATTGAAGTGCAGCACAGGGCCTGGACATCGCAATAAATTATCAAAGTGAGCTAAAATAGCTGTCTCTTCTCTCAAAAATAGCGGAAGACGGTTCAAAAATCACTTGTATCACTAGATGGCTTTCTATAGAAAGCCATCTATCCGCCATTGGCCGATTTGAAAATGGCGCGCTTAATTGGACTTCACAGAGATCGTCACGGGGCCACGAACGTTCCACGCGTGGGCACCTAATTACACTGAAAAAGTCGCATATTCTAAAAAAAATTACATGTTATCTACAGAGTGAATGATAATAGGTGAGGGAAAGCATTCGTCAGTCTGTCCGCGCTTCCGTGCGCTCATTATTTATTGCTTCCGTCCGTCCGTGCGTATGTTTGTCCTGTCTGTTCGTCCGTACGCGCGTCCTTTGGTCCATCTGTATGTCCGTCCATCTGTCTTTCTAGTTTACTCTCGATGTACTGTTATCTCACATCTTTTACAGCGAAAGCTTTTATGAGATCACAACTGGCGTCACGCGCAGTTGTCCGCCACCGCCGCTGGTGTCCGTAACTATATCGCGCGAAATTAGAAAAACCTAGCACCAATGACACAGTTGGGCTCGAACCTCGGTCCGCTGGGTGCCAGTCCAGTATTCTACCACTGATCCACACCAGTGTTTGGGACTTGTTTGCAAACTTGACATAGGCAAGCTTAATGTAGGGAAAACAATCACGTTACTACGACTTGCAAAGTATTTTAAACAAGCGAAAGAACAACCGGTCGTCGCACAATGCGAATAGCGTAACAAAAGGGTCGTCAAATGCTCCAACCCATTACAAAAGCTTGTTCCTTTTCCCCTGTTAACTGTTGCACACACCCACTTCAGCCATAATTCCTCATCATCGTCAGCCACTGCATAAACAATTCGCACCAAATTCCTTGCAAGTGTTCAGCGGATACCACGCTTCTCAGAGGTATGACGAAAATTAACATAATGGCTGCCGCCCAAAACCACCAAACATTTTTATTGTTAATCCCTAGTGGGTATCAAGCAAGTGTGCGTGCAGTAGTTACCCAATGAGTGTTTTGAAAGGCTCTGAAAGGCCACTCTCCCAGCATTCGCTGTGATTGTGCTGCGCCTTCCGCGCAGGCTTAGCGTTTTTATTTATGTACTCAATCCATAGAAGTACCGCAACCCTGCGGAAATTTTAAGGACCGCTCTTTCGGGTAAGTGTATCCGTCCATCCATCTATCTAGTGAACACTTTAAGTACCACTATCTCACATATTTTAATCATGAATTCATCATACACAAGTACCACCACCGAGAGGACAAATCGTAAGGCCCGCTCTCTCAAGTATGTCCATCCGCGTATGTGGTGAACACTTCAAGTACCGGTATCTCAAATCTTTCAATCTTGTATTCATTATATACAAGTACCACCATGCAGCGGACATTCTAAGGACCACTCTCTCGGGTATGTGCCACCGGTGGTTAGATGCGAGAACGGGGCACACAAGCCATGCCCTATGGATCTTCGCTCCTAAATAATGCTCAAGGTCACGAGGTGCACGTGTCGAATTTTATTTTTTTTTTGCCCCTGCCATCCCTCCTCTCTTGACTTACAGCGCTTTCGTCGGAATAAAAAGAGAGAATGCAATTGCAGCATGTGACAAATCTTTGTAATTCCTCGCACTGGACATTTTTCTTAAAAGTTTTGTGGTGTTGAATTGATTGATTTGTAGGGTTCAACGTCCCAAAACCACTATTTGATTATGAGAGACGCCGTAGTGGAGGGGTCCGGAAGTTTGGACCACCTGGGGTTCTTTAACGTGCACCCAAATCTGAGTACACGGGCCTACAACATTTCCGCCTCCATCGGAAATGCAGCCGCCACAGCCAGGATTCGATCCCGCGACCTGCGGGTCAGCAGCCGAGTACCTTAGCCACTAGACCACCGTGGCGGGGCATGTGGTGTTGAATTCGTGATGCAATAAGCTTTTCCACTAATTTCATTCGATGGTTACTTGAAAAACATTTCTCAGGGCCACGTTAAGTGGCAGCTCTACCAGTAGGGGCAAAATCTATCAATGAATTAGTATCAAAACTAGTTTTTTCTTTTGTTTCAGCTGTACATACGTTTTTCCAAAAGTACACACTTTGTACGCCGTTGGTAATACAGAAAACCTTCTGTGAATGGGCACTTCTTTTGTTAAATCACGTCATCAGAAATATTATATTTAAAATCCTGGGTTGGTGGATGCTGGAATCGTTGGTGGATATAGTGGAAACAATAGTAGCTGTGGTGGAAATGATACTGATATGCTGGAAGCTGTGGTAGTCATAGTGGCTGATGATAGTGCAGAAAATCGTGACAAATAGCAGTGGTGGTGGTTGGCAGGCAGCGACAGTGGAAATGAAAAATGCTAGCTGATGGTTGCGATGCAAAACACTTTTGGTGGTTGGCTTGCTTAACAAGCTGGATGGTGGTGGCGTATATCATAGGATGGAAGCACGATAAAAAAAAGTCACATGACACTGTGTGAAATCACCTGGTTGTAATGTTTCCCTCTCTAATACGCAGATAAGAATATGTTTGCATTTGAAAGAAGCCAACACGTATGATAGCCGCTTCTGATACGCTTGTAGTTTACAAGGTGCCGCCTTGTTAGCTTTACCGGCAATGCCATCTGCTCGCTTTCACTCCAGTGTGCGCAGATGCTCTTTAACTCGCCGAGCAGGCGAAGTAACTTTGCTGGAGATATATTAAGCCTATAGTCGGGGCACGGAGATGGCCGCCGTATACAACGGCCATGCTGTGATGTTTGTGCCATTTAGATTTGATTGGACGAACCAGCTGCAAAAAATCATCTGTAAATGTGGTCCAAGTAGGTGTACATACAACGCTGGGAATAAATGTGTTTTTAATATATTTATCTTGCTGTGGCCAGGTGGTACTGTTATAGCATAAAAGAAAATAAGTCTGCTAGTCGAAATATCAGCTTGAGCACGGACGTTCTACTTAAAATTTTTGGAAGCACTAAAGACAAGCGCTACAAATACAGAAGAGTACGACTGGGCGAGTTCGTAGAGCACTGTTTAATTTTTTCTGCGGAGTGCTTCAGAGCAGTACAACGACTGAAAACCTTGGGTTCTGTTATTTGTCCCCTTTTCTTTTATTGAGCTCGCTACTGCAACTGAAATTAAGCTGCAAATCACTTTTGCTGTTACTATATATACAGCAAAACGCATAGCATTTACAAAAGCTTGTGCTAAAAACAAATTAGAATAGGTACGGTATGGCGCTTTTGAGAAACGTTCAGCATATACCGAGTGGGTCTACTAAGCAGTTTTTATTGGGAAGCTTTTTGTGCTCGAGGAACAACTGTAGGTTAAAGTGTGCTTGTTAGCGATGCACAGGAAAAACAAACGGAGAATTGTGCTACTTGAGGCGTTCTTTACTGTCGATACTATGTTCTAGCATTCTATGTTCTAGATTCTATGTTCTACTTTTCCTCATCTGCAATAACCGCCTGAAGTAGGTTCCGGATGGGTCCGACTCTCCATTTAAGCAACGAGTCCAAGACAAGTGGGTGAATATCGACAAGTATTGGGCCCAGACCAAACATCACGACCCATGCAGTGCTGTAGTGCATTGTCCCTTAAATTTTTTTCCCACACCGGTTTCCATGCACATACAAACATGGTGAATATATATGTATACCGGCACTAATGGCGTAAAAGTAGCGCAAAAAAACGATGAAAAGGAAGTGAACACCACAAGCGTCTACGCTTTAACACACGCTCTAATCGGTGCTTAAAAGCACCCACGCTTTAACCTACTCTTGAATAGCGTGGGTTCAAGCGTGATGACTTGTAAGGAATCATTGCACCTTCGCACTATAGCAAGACGCCATCTTGATGAGCCTGTGCGACGAGCAGTAGGTACAGCAGACAAACGAGAACTTCTTAACCGCATCGCTTAAATTTACGAAAGGCCTTTATAAAGTATTGCAATAGGGGGGGGGGCGGTAGTGAACCTTTAGGCTTCGAATAATCTAAAATGTCGAGGCTCAACGTATGCGGCGCGGTATACGAAAGGGTCGGCCCAAGGACGAGACAGCTACGCAACGGCCATTATTCCGGGCCGCCGTAATCAGCCAGCGCGAGTGACTGCCTTCGTTCTTTGTGGCTGTCAAGGCATCTCTCTCCCGGGCAGCCCGCAGGCTGACCCTTTTGAAGAGCACAAGTGGACCCACTCACCGCTACTGCGTGCGCACTACGGGGCGCTCTTTATTGCCGGTGGATGTGGTTCCCACAAGCGACTTGACAAGGTTTGTTTCTAGTTTGCTCATACGTCGTTGCTAGGCTATGTAGGTGATGCTGGTTTGTTTCTACTTCACTTCACATGACAGAAAAAATGGAGTTAAACCTACACAGAGTAGTGGACACCACACGAGCACGTCATTGTTGGCTTGTGTGTTACGTCGCTTCGCGGTATTCTCCCAGCCGCCGTCGCCTTTCCAGTGCCCTAATATTATTTCGTACACCCTCGGTGTCTTAGTTTTCCCGCCGTCGCTTCGCAGACGTGCGTTGAGCTAACTGTTCCATTCTTCTTTATTTAGTAGATGTTTGTAGGGGCATTATCGAATTTCAGTGGCAGATATACACTTATGATGTTGATAGTTTTCTTCCACGCTGCAGAAACGTCTGTGGCAAATATCCGCTCGTTGGTCAAACTGTTGACTTCGTGATCTTTAGTTGACCAGTGTTGAATAGTGAGATTGACACCATTTTCCTGGCCCGGACATGTAGACGGTTATAAAATTTTCTTGGCGTGAGGTGAACAAGGAACGATTCGCTGAACGGCTTCATCATGTGTAAGAAGAGCGCAGTGTGTCGTCTTTCTGGTCTTTTTGCCCGAGCGCTGTAAGCCATGTATATGACGAAATGAGCCATGTAATGCCCTTGCAACAACTATTGCCGGAGTTGGACACCTGATTGCGTAGTGTCACATTTGTTCTTTCATGAATGTGCTCAAATCGAAAAAGAACGGCAGCTGGACTTCCGCTCAAGTTTAAACATCGCGTATGACGTATCTATGCCGGTACATGTTCTTTGCTGACAATAGAATAAAGTCTGCAAACAGTAGTGCAAATGAAGGCATAGGTTGCATTATTTGTGGTCATAAATTGGTCTGTGTTCATTAGGATAGATATAAATGTAAACAAATTCAACTGCATCGAAAGAGCAGTTGCCGCTGGTAGTAGCCGAAACTAGTGTCGTTCCGTAGCTGTCGCAAAGTAGAACGGCGAGAGTGAACGTGTTGCATGTGTTGTGTAAGCGCATTTACCGCGTTCTCAACAGCCGCCCTATCGTACATCCTCGCGCGGTGGGTGGTCGAATCGTTGGTGGATATGGTGGAAAGAATACTGGATATGGTGGAAATAACAGTGGATATTGTGGAAGCTGCTGCAGCTGTCATAATGGCTGATGACGGTGAGGGTGAAAAAATAGTGGCAGACGGTGGTGGGGGTGAAGGTGGCGAGTCAATGGTGGTGACAGTGGAAAATGCCGGCTGATGACGGCGAGAGTGAAAAAAAAAACGGCAGCATATTCACGCGGTGAATGATGAGTGGGTGAAGCTGGGTCCGCACGCCGCTGCCGCACCACTTCGGCTTCCCGTTGTCATACTGCAGGGTCCTCGCAGCACCGCCGCGCAGCTTCGTGGGGCGCTTCTGCCTCACGCACCCGCACGTCGGGGTCCCTTCTTCGATCACGAGCCGTTGCTGCCGCCCTGCGCGCACGCCGCTCAGCAGCTTTGTCCATCCTCCGTCTCCGAACCTCTGAATGCGCGCGTGTGCCAAAAGGGTGCTTTATTGTACTATAGAGTGCCCCGTGGCATACGGTGCCACCAAAAAACACGCGATCGTAGTTGTGCGATCGTCTCTCTCGTTTCGTACGTGTGACGTCAATCCTTTTCTACAAGTAACGCCTTCTAGCGTTACTAGCGTACTACGCCTTACTAGTGTACTACTACGTTACTACGCCTTCTAGCGTTACCTCCCTCTATGGCCGGTTCAAGAAATAATGAGGGGCGGTTAGCTGCAACGGGGACGCACAAGCCACGCCATAAGGAGCTTCGCCCCTAAACTGGAGGCAGATAGTGGATGTGATGACGAGCAAATGGTGGTGAAAGTGGGAAATGCTGGTTAATGGTGGCGATGCAAATTGTGTTTTCTGGGTGGCTTGGTGAACAAGCTGCATGACGATGGCGTGATGGAAGCTTGGTGGATGATCATGGCATGATGAAAAGCGGATGGCAGTGTATAAAATCAATTATTTGTGGTGGTTCACTCTGGAATGCGCAGAGAAATATGTTTACGGTCGAATGAAACCAACGCTGGTCATAACGCTTTATACCACGTTTTTTTTCTATTCCTGCGATGTCAACAACGCTTCAATTTTTGTGTAGTGCGGAACGCGGCCGTGAGTGTTTACATTTCGTGCACCTACTTGCACCAGTATGACATGCGCAATGTTTTGCTTTGTTGCGATCCTTAGAAGACAAGAGGTGTCACTGTCAATAGCAACAGTGAACGTGTTACATTGTCGCCGAGCTCTCGAGAAAGAAATGAGCCCCTTTCAGTGGTAGATCATAATACAGCGGTAATTTGATGTCGCCACGCTAGATACGCAACTCGAATTTCTTGCACACTTCATACCTTGAGCCGTATTTCAATGTTAACAAAGTGCGTGCGACGCTAGAATGCATAAACCTTTAACTTCGACAAGCATCGAGATGAGCCCAGCGAGTGTGACTTCCATCCTTCTGTTCTACCACCATGGTTTTCACCAAAGGTAAGGCTATACCGAACGAGCCATTTCAATTGTTATCAGCGCTTCTTGGTTTCTTAATACACAATTTCGACGAGTAAGAATCATAATACAGCAAAGCCGTGGCATCATGTAACCTAGCTAAAGCATTTTTATTGCGTTCGGTGTCTACGCAAGAAGCTACAAACAGCAATGCGACGCGGTTAGAGCACTTGCAGCGAACGCGCTCCTCAGCTCACCTTCAGCCGCCGGTCGCACTCGCTGGCACTTCTCTGACTCTTATTGAGAGCACAAATTTGTCAATTCGTATGCTTACTGAAACAATATGATATCATAGTGTTTCCTGCACACTGCATTCGTTTTGGCCAAGTCGTGTACGTAGTTGTTTCTAACGATAGAGCTGCAGCAGTACGACTACGCACGACTATACATGTACGTTGCGCGGAAACATCACAATGAGCAACAAATTCCGTGGGCGTATCTATTGAATGAGCCTGGAGGGGTCAAAGCCTGAGCAAATTTCGCCCCTCGGAACGAGTCAGAAACGCACATTAAACTTGACAGTAAGCGCCGGTAAACGGTACATGCTTCTCAGTGCACTCGATATTTTTTTTCTTGTGGTTGTGAATTGTAACAAAAACAGCGCTGTTGCCATTATCGAAGTGGTCATTGTTACAGGTAGCAGTTTGCGTTTACTAAATGTGCTCATTTTAGTAGCAGGTGCAGATCCCGTCTAGCTAGAGTTTGTGAGATACAAAATTTAACTTCAACGGTGAGTTAGCAAGAAGAGTAGACATTTTACAGCTTTTGTTATGTCGGCTTGGCGCCGTGGTTAGTTTGTTCACTTGAAAATCCGAAGGTTCCAAGCTCAAAACCCCGTGTTCTCTTTTTACGGGTGGTTTCTACATCGCGTCCTATACATTTATTTTTTTAGTAGTACCTCGTCACGGTGGTTCTTACACCGCTTCGCGCTGCAGCATTGCCGGCTTTCCAGAATCCACTAAGCGCCACCATACATGACGTGTCGCCAATATTTCTAGCACCATAATCCACCCAAATGGTGAATGGTGGAATCCACCATTCCTGTGGCGGACGTTTTTCTCAATTAGGGCACTCGCTTGAAAAAGTGTGATAATTTAGGTCCCCTGTTATTCTTTTGAGTAGCCTTGATGAATTAGAATTGTAAGTTAATGAATCTCAACAGAACCTCTGACAGAGGTTCCCGCCTCGCAGCGATAGACAGGTGACGCGTGCGATGAACATCGTACACATCGGGACCAACCATAATCTGAAGTGGCTGCCATGACTCAGCCTCGCGCACGCACGATTTCAGGGCACTAATTTAAAATTCACCTAGCAAATGCTTACAAGTACGTCCTACACGCAGATCGCAAATTGTTTGTCGTGACCACAATACCGCTGTTCTTGCAGTTAGTTTCCGCGAATGCCGAAGCTGTCTGGGAGGCCTCGTTTTTCCTTTTTGTTGTATACTGAGAAAGTAGACACGCATGCGTGTATTCCCATTTGCAGTATATTTAAGCGGAAGACAACCGTCAACAGAGCAATTCACAATGCACAATGAAACGGTACAGAACACAAGAAGCAAAATATATATCGAGAATGCAACTGCAAAGGCTAAAATAACCAGGTACGTTCTGCCGGATAAAGCGTGCTTCATACCACTGTTTGTAAGTGCTTGTGTATGCTCTTCATCGCTTTAGCGTCACGTCTATACCCAAATCTAGCGCATTTACACACAGAACGCACGTCGGAGCACTTGCCTCAAACTTGATGTCATGCCAGAAGAATGGCGGTTTGGGCTAGTTGGTTTGAATTCATTATAATAAGGGTTGCAGCGCGAGTACGAAGGTGCTAGAAGAAACGGACGAAAGTCGAGGTACGGAAGGCAAAGAGGACAACACGCAGCGATCGTGTTGTCCTCTTTGCTTTCCGTACCTCGACTTTCGTCTGTTTCTTCTAGCACATTCGTGCTCGCGCTGCAACCCTTATTATCTTGATGTCATGCGATACCCGCTTGCGCTCAAATTGCAAGTTGCAGCACTCCGAAACAATTGAAACTTCTTTTTCGTTGTACCGGCAGTTCGCTTTGATAAGCTTACAACTTTTCTGAATCGAGGTTGGATTGACGGAAGAAGCTTGCCAGGTCCTCGATTTTCGAGAAACCATGCCTCAACACTAACGAAAGAGGTGGGCAATTGCCTGCTCGCTTGCGGACTGCTCACTTCACACTGCCCAGTTATGGCCAGCGCGGTGATTAGGGCGCTGGTGGTGGCGTTTTTTGCGGCGCCACCTTGGCAGAGTCTGACAACCATAGAAACCCGCGTCAAGAATAGGAGTCATGGTAAAGTAGTTCGTATGACGCTCTCTACGAACATAAACGTGATAGACTGCCACGAAACAAAACTCATGGGCGGAGAAATAATTGTAGAAGTATGGTGAACACACGCACAATCAATCAGTAGTAGACTTTACTTTTGAAGTTAGATTTCATGAGGACGTTCAATTCTATGAGAGCGCGTGAGTGCATGTTCATTTTCACAAAATTTTACAGTTTACAAAGCCTCTTATAACCAGTCGCTTGCCAACATACCTCAAGAATGTCGATGCAGCGGTGCTTAGCGACGATGCAGTAGAGGACCATCACTGCTTCTACCATTCGGAACCCGGATTCGATGGTCAGTTCAAGATAAATGCTTCTGTAGCAGCGCGCCGCAATTCTGCCGGGTGCTACTTCCGTCACTTCAGCCCCTAAGTAGTAGAGCAGCTCATTCAGTGTCGGGAGAAGCTTCACGAGGTGACAGACCCTGGTCTCGCTTGCGGAGCAAAATTCAGGCAGGGGCACGTGCGACCCATTGTGCTCTATTTCACCGCTTTCCACTACGTATTTTGCGAGTAGAAATACATCGTGCCTTCTGTGATATTGCGAGTCTAGATGAAAAGCCTTTTGCAGAAAAGAATCCCATATCGAGGCTTCCGCCATGGAATCCTGAAAACAAAAAAATATGTAAGCACTTTCAGTCACAAGAATTCAATAATGCGAATGCCGTTGACAAAGCTTACACACAAAAAAATTAAATGAGATCTATAAAGTGAATGATGATGAGGGAGGGAATCTCCTACATTAGGAAGTGTTAATAGTTGACATAAGATTTTTACGAGTTGTAAACTTTATGTACATAAAGTTGGGGTTTGCATTTCGCTTTTAACGGCACTGCTTTATGATCGCAGAATGAGAAAAATAGCGGTGTTTCAATCATGTCCATTTGAAAGTTCACAAACACTCGGTCAATACACTCATCCTGGATGTTGGTCGGTTGGTTGTTAGACAAACAAGCATACCGAACTAACATTTCTGGGAACACAACATCTTGCCAGCGGTAACTCTTTAGTATACGCCGTATCCTAAACCAAGACTTATGACACCTCCCCCTTGCCTGCATACGGTCTACGTTTTAAATATAAGTGCGCTGTGCACACTTCGTATACCATCTTCACAACAGCTGTTTTTCGGCACGCCGCGAACCTACGCCGACAACGGAAAAGGCGAGAGTTTGAAGTGCTTCTTTTTTAAATATTCGGCTAAGTGTTTGAGTAATAATGAATAATTTCTCTGTATTTGAACAATAATATTACCAGGAAGTGACGCTCGATATGTTACCTATGATTAAAAGGTATTTTCAAGTCTAGCGTAGTGGATTGCTGTGTCGTTTCTTAAATTGTGAGCAGATTCAGTGCCTTGCTTCAGCTTTGGTCTTAACGCACGAAACTAGAGAAGGACGGAAGAGATGTTAAAATAGGAGAAAAGCCGAGCTTAGCTATGCAGGGCAGTGACAGTAGACGTATAGGAGAAGTATGAATCAGTATCGTGTGTCCCACACCTCGTTGTCAGCCAGAATCTCCCACAGCTGACCCTGCATGGGGATCTACGCTGAGCAGCATTGTCTTCCTCTGCTCGTTGTTACGTTATTCTTGGTGCCAGCTATCTTAGCCACCATCTTCAATGTATTGAAAAAAATGTCACGCTGATTTATTTCCATGAAAATAGTAAAATTCTAGAATATTTAGAGACAACTAGCTTCTTTTGCCGTAAACACTGCTGCCCTCAGGTTGTTATTGATAGTCCTTAGACATGCCGACGAACGCTGAACTGGCGAAAGAAATCGAAGTGTTTCGAGTTGAAATGGTCGAGATGCGCGAAAGTATGAAGTTACTGAATGAGATCTGTGAAGGCGCGAAGAAGGAAAACGAAAATTTGACCAAAGAAAACAAGTCCCTGAAGGTTAAAAACAAGGAGTTGCCTAAACACCTCAGTGAACTTGAACAGTATTCACGCTCTAAAAACGTTGAAATAAGAAGTGTGCCCGTCCGGAAAGATGAGAACTGCCTTCAGATCGTGCAGGAAATCGGGAACAAAGCAAAATGCCCTGTCGCGGCAGCGGACATTGACATCGTTCATCGTGTCCCTGTCAAGAAAGGAATACCACACATAATTGCTCGATTCTGTACGAGAGCCAAGAGGGCCGAATTCTGTGAAAAAGCACGGAAGGCACGTTTACACACTTCCAACATTGGATTTCAATCTCAAAAAGACGAGCCCATTTTTATCAACGACCACCTCACTCCAGAAAAAAAAACGACTGTTCGCGCAGGCTCTGACCCTAAAGAAAGAAAAAAAACTACAAGTAGCTCTGGACAGACAACGGTATTATCAAGGCTAGGAAAACCGACAACAGTAAAGTGCACCGCATCGCTGACATGGATGACCTAACAATCATATCGTAGGCATGCCGACTGATTAAGGAACACTTTTGGTTTTATTATGGCTTCTAATAGGCTCTCTTGGGCTGAAGCAAAACATCTTCTTGAGCTAACACCCGCATTCTCGCTCGTGCATTTTAACACTCGTAGCCTTCGAGGGCATTATGACGACCTTGTAGCCTTCCTTTCCATTGTCGAACACTCATTTTTCGTAATTTGCCTATCAGAAACGTGGCTGTCGGCAGACGAAGGGCATCTATATGCTTTGCCAGGCTATGAATCTGAATATTGTAACCGTGTCACAAATCACAAAATGGTGGCGGATCTGCAGTCCTAATAACTTCATCAATACCATACAAACGCCGTCAGGATGTGTTTTTTGACAACATTAATTGTGAGTCTGTTTGGCTTGAAGTAGAATCTTCTGCTATGCCATTGAACAATCGTCATACAGTCATTGCATCCATCTACCTTTCTCCCTCATCCTCGAATTCCGAGTTTTGCGTGCAGCTTGAAAGAATCCTTGCTACTCTAACCCTGGAAAACAAAAACATTAATATTTGCGGTGACGTAAACATAAATATCCTTGATACTAACACTCCAGTTTGCTTGGAATATGTTCGCTGTTTTCTTAGTTTTGGCCTACAATCTCTGATTCACTCCCTGACTAAATGTGATATGAATCGGTCTAACACATTATTCGACCATGTACTGTTGAATATCTTTGCTGATTCGAAGTCCGGGGTTATTGACTATTTATTCACCGACCACTATTCTGTATTTTTCTGTCTTGGTGCCTGTATTCCCATAAAAATAAGCATAATACCAAGACAGTATTCAACTCAGCGGAATTTGTTGAGATAGTGCGTTATGCTGACTGGGACTTTGTTGCACAAGAAGAATGTGGCGAGGAAGCGTTTAATGAATTTTCGGCAAAAATAAGCGCATTCATTGCAGAATGCACAACCACAAGTACCGTCATACATTGGTTTCGCACGCCTAGAAACCCATGGATAACTCCTGGTCTCTTGCATTCCATATCTAAAAAGGAAAATATGCGAAAAAAAACTAAAATCTCAGCCTTCAAACAGCTCTCTAAAAACGCGCTTAAAAAGATATTCAAATCTACTTTCAATGCTGCTCAAGAGGGCCAAACGCGAGTATTATGAAAAACAAATAGATAAGAACGGTAATGATACCAGGAAAAAGTGGCAGTTAATAAAAAAATTATTGAACAGCAGCGAGACCACATGCTTATCAAAAATAACGGTTGATGGACGTTACCTTACCGAGCCACTCAATATCACTAATGCTTTCAGTGATACTTTTGCATCAAATTCCCCCGATTCACTAGTTGACCTTCATTTTCCCATTCTATCTCGTTCACCTCAGTCTCTTTACTTACGTCCTACATCTGCAGACGAAGTCTTTCAAATCATGTCATCTCTTAAAACCAAAGGGCCAGGCTTAGATTCCATTCACCCGTCTAAGATAAAGCTGATGGCACGTGAACTGTCTCCTATTTTAGCTGAAATAATTAACAAATTGTTCAAAGCAGGTGCATTTCCTGATGCTTTAAAGGTAGGAAAGATAACACCTGTTTTCAAAAAGGGCGATCGTTTGTCAACTAATAATTACCGTCTGATTTGTGTACTTCCTTTCTTTAGCAAAGTAATCGAAAAGCTTTTTTACTTGCGTTTGATGTGCTATCTGCATAAATTTAACCTACTCTCTCCCCACCAATTTGGTTTTCGACCTGGCTACTCGACAGAGCTCGCCTTGCTCAGCTTTACTGACCGAATTAAACAAGCCATAGACGATGGATTACTTACTGGGGCAGTTTTTATTGACCTCACGAAGGCTTTCGACACAATTAACCACCGGATCCTTCTGTGTAAACTTGAATCTTTCGGAATCATGGGTCCCGCTTTGCAGTTCATTCGCAATTACTTGACAAATCGCTCACAGGTAGTTTATGTCAATAACATTGCGTCATCTGCTAAGCCAGTTACCATGGGCGTCCCTCAAGGTTCAATCTTAGGCCCTCTTCTATTCCTACTTTTCATTAACAACCTACCTAGTTCCCTTAACCATACTAACTGTCTTCTTTACGCCGATGACACTACTATTTTTACATCCCAGAAAACAACTGCTGAACTTGAAAGTAGCTTAAACTCCGATCTCTGTAATATTTTTCAATGGTGTGTTAACAATCATCTTTATATGAATCCTTCTAAAACTACATTTGTGGTGTTTTCATCCGCACAGAACACATTTCCCTCACCAGTTTCAGTATCTCTTAACAACCATATTATTTCCGTATCGGATCATGTGAAGTTCTTAGGCGTAATACTAGACAAGCATTTGAAATATAACTATCATGTACTCTCAATATTAAAAAAAAGCTTCTTTTGGCATTCATGTTCTCATTAAAGCCCGCCCTTAGTTTCAGTCACGCATTATTTTATCATTATGCTATGCATATATTCATAGTCATCTTTCCTATTGCATTTCATCCTGGGGTAATACATATGCCAGTCACCTGGAGCCCCTTCTACATCTTCAGAAACGGGCACTACGTCTGATCGCCTTCGCTCCATTTCAGTCGCCTTCTACGCCACTCTTTATTTATTTTTCCGTGCTTCCAAGTAATCTTTTATTCACTCTAAAGTTAGCTATATTGATGTACCGCCTCATTTATCATGGTCTATGTGTTTCAGGGCTATCCACACAACATCTTGTCAATACTAATAACACCAGGTTTTCAGCCTGTCACAATTTCTTTCTCCCTAAAGTGCGTAGCAATTATGGAAAACTAACTCTTAAATATACAGGTGTATCCGTATGAAACAACATACCACTTGAAATAAAGTTATGTCCCACATTCTATTCGTTTCGCAAAATGTTTAAAGAGTACCTAATCACAAAACGTGTTTGCTATACTCTGCCGTCGTGCCTTACTCCTAATTTTAGTATTTCTTTTACTCACTATACCACTTGCTGTTACACAGAAATTTTCTTGCCTCGTTGTTATGAAATTTTAACCATTCATTGCTAAATTCGTACAAAGTGTTTTTCACTGCTTGCTTCAATGTTATCGCACTTGACTTATTCTCTAACGGAGGTCCCCCCGACAGTTTTCTAACTTCGGGACCTCCTCTGTACTGTAGAATTTTATTCATGTAAATGTATGCATTCCTGAAATAAAGTTTGATTTGATTTGATTTTGAAAAAAAAAAACTGAGACGCAAGCAACGCTAGTCTGGCACTCGCACTCTTACAAGATGAAAGGCTTTTGTGTATCGAGGGGCACCACTTCAGTTGGTAGCGGGGCAAATGTCGAGAAAATGTTCTTTAAAAAAAAACTTGCTATTTGTTAGTGCCCTCTACTCATACCCTCAAGGCAAAAAAGTTGGTGCCATTTTTTCAAGAGAATTTACAATAAACTAATGACTGTAAAACAAACAGTTGTGTCATTTACCTCAAACACGGACACAGCGCGGTTTCTCCTTCATTGTGCTCATGTTTGAACGAAGGCCGCAACGTGCGATTTGTTGTTGTTGGCCTTGTTTTAGCTGGCCTGTGAAGCACGTGCTTGCCCAAGTGTGTCTGCTAGCTCGGGCGGCAATTATAGAATTACCGAGCGAAGGAGGGCCGCCAATGTTTTCCACGAGCGCTGCCACAATCGACTTCCTGGTAACGAAGAAGACCAGAGAAAGGTAACATCGATGAGCGGTCGGGACAAAAACGAATTATTCCGGGCTTTGTCCAAAACTGACTTCCGTAGTGCCTTGGAAGCCGGCCGGATGGAGTTATGACTTCACTCTTTGTCGACCGTTTTTTCTTTTTTTGCGTATCTACAGTACACTTCGATATCTCTGATGCTCCATGTTGCGATTTTAGGCGCCATTCAAAGCCCATGTGTACAGATGACCTTGCCAGACATATTTATGTATTTGATGATCATTTATTCGAAATACGTGCTAAAAGGAGAATAATTGTAAGGTCATGTGAATGCATCCCGACACTTCGGTAAGGTGATGCCACGAGGACGAATCTGACAGGTATTACTTGACGAGGGAACAATGTGTCGACTGATATACGCAGAGATCAGCCAGATGTGAGAGAGTGGTAACGTTGGTTGTTCACTCGTTTGATT